TTCCTTCTGTGGAATTTCCTCAAATTTTCTGGACCGTTAAACATACTTGTACCCTTCCTAGTGCCTGTTGATAAAAAAAAATTCATTAGACCAAATTTGAGATCGAGGAAGAAAACACAAAATTGCAAATAGCGAGGAAACTGCCTTACTAACCCCTATTTTTTTAGGCTTTTTAATGATCGGCAGGATCATTTTCACAAATGGAGAAAATTTTGAGAGATTTCAGCGCAGCAAATTTATGAAAATCAGAGACAAAGCCAAATTATCGCTGACGAGCGCCTCCCTTTGTGGAGCCTTAGCTTAATAACAAAAATCATTTTGATAACATCTACTACAGCAAACGATACTTTGAACGTTGCTCATTGCCTTTTGATGGCTTTTAATGACCTTGATGAAGCGAACATATTAAAATTTTCTGGAAAAACATTACGCTGGCGCGCGCGCCAACTATAAACAAAAATCTTATGGAGCCTCCTTAAAGAGTTCCCATACTAAAGATGAAACATTTCAAGAACGTTACATCTTCTTTCTAAAAAAACCTATGCTAGCTCAGAACTGGGTTTCGTAGTTGAACCAATTTTGAAACGTTAAGTGGCGTTCACTCTTTTGACAGGTATAATATAACCACCAGTGATGTACCACGTGAGTTCACAGCTAAGAACAATAACGAGTAAGTGCTTAATGAATATATATGAGCACTACACCAAGTATGTCCCCCAACTGTTATCTCAGTATCCCCGAGGTGTTAGGTGAAGCTGATAACAGAACTGTAAATATGACATTTTTATTTTCCTGAATGATTGAAAACCCAGCCGTGTAGCACTTACCATTTACCAGCTATGATCAACTGGAGAGCGCTCTACTTTCTTCTGTTTAGAACAACAACATATTGTTAACATAGTCTAAATGAACGAGCATTCATTCAGTCTTTGATCTGATGGCTTCTCTGTACGTTCCCTCGACATGAAAATGCCACGAAAGCGAATGAAATAAAAACTAACGGAAAGGCAACAATCACCGAGCACTGGGACTTGATTCAAATTGGATTATAACATAGCTTGTAAATTTGTCTACTCAAATTCAATTGCGCGAGCGTGCTTCATATTCCTATTGTGCACGCTCAGCAAACAAATCCCTCGAGAAAAAAATTTCCATCGGGTTGAAAATGTTATAAAACAATTGGTTCATACGTCATCTGTGCGTTCATCGAGATGTGAAGCACTTGGGAAGTTTGGAGAGCACTCAAGAAGCTGGAGTTACTCTCAGCTACGCCTCGAGCAACTCTTACGCATCTTTCGTGCTCTCCAAACTTCCCGCGTGCTTCATATCTCGATGAACGCACGCTGACGTATGAACCAATTGTTAATTATACCTTGGTAAATTGATGCGTCCAATACGTTACGACGAATTGGTCAGACTCACAAAAAGACCAGATCGATTGATTTTATTATTTTCTTCTCAGGATTAAAAATAATCCGAAAACAAAAGCTGTTGACAATAAGACCGATCTTCAAATCGCTTTGAACACTGCCCAGCTCGGCAGAACATTCCAGGATAGAAGTCATGTGATCATCCTTAAACCACGCAGCAAACTGCCCATGAAATTTCAGCATAGCAACATCTATTACATTAATGGAATGGGCAAGAGAGGAAACATAGTGCAGGCGTATCCTGCCATGGAATATCGCTTTTACCCTGAACGCCTTACTGTTACAACAGATGATGTGGTGTGTTTCGTCTGGTCCGGTGAGAAGGAACAATCTATTTCATACGAACTCTTGTGACCTCAGTCGTATTTCATTCTTTTTATCCATTTTCAATTTCGTTGTTTCATTGTGTGTCTAATTATTTACCTATTTATTGCTTCTATCGGTAGGCTCAAACAACAATCAGAACAATGCTGGAGAAGGAACAGCACGTGAGAAAAATATCGCACATATGAATTATTTAGGCACACAACTAACTTTAAAACTTAAAAAGCTCAAACTTGAAAATTTTTTAGCAAAACACAGCTGAGTGGAGTAAATCTGATAAGTACATCGCCCTAAATAATTTTCCATTTCATTTCATCATTTCAGGAACTGATCGCACCAACGTGTGCTGGATAAAGGAAGGATGCCAATCTCTCAAACCAGCAGCGTGTTCCAGCCTTCCTCTTGAAGTAGTTGACCATGTCGACGAATTTGATGCCGCCAAGTTAAATGTTCACCTTAACAAGGGCTGTTACACTGGTGGCAAAACACTGCAGGCTCAACTGAACAACGCCCCGGCCTCTTGCAACCCGCCATGCTTCCGCATCACGAAGCCCGGGACATACTGTTACATGGGCACGCGCAATAACAACTTCTCTAACCGACGTCACATAGGACAGATAACAGTCAATGAAGCTAAAACTACTCCTGAATAATACCTCAGTGAATAGCTCTAAAAATACAGAGCAAGCAATGCTTCTCAAATAAAAAACTGACAAGGCATTCGAACTGAAGAACAAGTGCGTCCAACTTTTTCTTTGTTTTTATTGTTATTTTTTATTGTTACGTTTTAGGTACGTCGTGTAGTTACTCCTCACCCTCAATTTTTTGTCTTACCCGGATGTCGATGTAACGCTCACGGATAAGGCTGCATCCGTCCCCTGAATAGAGTCTGTGCATGGTCACGAAACCCACGATCACGAAACTCACGATCACGGTAAATGTGTCTACTAAACCAAAACCCCCTGATCAGATCCAACTCAACTGAAATTTTAGTAGTTCGAAAAAACTGAAAGCAAATTAATGGCAGGCTCATACTGTAGATCTCCAGTCCTTTGGAATTAACTTGATTAGCGTTTTGGCTGCTAGTCAATTACCCTCCTTTTTCTGTTGATCTCTCAGCTTTTTCGTTCTTCCCTTCGAACAAATTGCCCAGTGAAGGCTGGATTCTGGTTATAGTACTATCAAATTTTAAACGGCAGAACAGTGATGCGGGAAAGTCATAAGCAAATCGGTAGACTCCTGCACGGAATTTGCTCGTTTACTTTGTTTCGCGATGCCGGTGAGGGAGCAGGTTGGTCAAACAATTTTTTAAAAGGACGATGAGAGCCAATTCGTGACACATAAGGAAAAAAAATCACACGTTGTGGATATTTCCAGGCATCCGTAATTATATCAAAGATTTCAATGGCAGGTAATCACGATCTAATTTTTCTTAAGGGTGGCAAATGTTTTACAAGTCACTCATTGAAAATTTTGGTGAGAGAATAATCAGTTTCTAAATGATACAAAGAAAAAACTACTTGAGATTAATTTGGAAACATTTAAATGGCGTTGAAAATAGCCTAAAGAAGAGAGGAATCCAAGCGAACAAGCAAAACCACAGACTATAACAAGCACCATAGCTTTAGGCGTTTTTACTTTATTAGTTTAAAACTTGAATGTGGTGGAAGGGAGTCCTAGGGATATGTTATTAATCCAAAATAAACCGCCTTAACTTTAGTCATAGGTTCCTGTTTTGTTACCAGGTAAATGTGAATGTCTTGAGTCCCCATACCAAGAACCGTAGCAGTTCATTCTCTCTCGCTTTCTTGCTGAGTGGCTGTATGCATGATACATATACATTACATCTGGAACCCAACCTTGGCGTCTTGCGCAATACGTTCTAACTTTGTAAATCATATAATGCTTGCACTCGACTCGAAAAACACTAGTCTCACAAGCTGCTTAAAAGCTTTCTTTTATGTCTACGTAATTATTTTTTTAAAACAAAGCGCATTTTCTTGAAGTGGAACCGCATGCAATAAACCACCTACATGGCTTGTTAAGTGTTATTATTACTGCACCAAAATCATTGGCCGTTATTTTTGTGCCACGAGACCCTACTTGAGTTATTAAGCAGTTACACAATGGCACCTTAGGCACAGGGGGTGGGCACAAGTCGGCTCAACCCGTGTACTGAGAGTAGATTTGTCCTCTCCCTATATCTCCAGCCAAATAATCCCGATCAATCGGGATGGCTCAGTGATTTCAGCTCAAAATTTTACGAGAGAAACTTTCACTACGATGAATTCCCACTATTCCTGCATGCATATTAGTAAAAACTCAAAACAAATGTTAAATCTAAAAAAGTGACCCTAAGCAGTCGAGTACTTTGTTTAAAATAAAGTATTATTGAATACTGACAGATGGACGTGTCATGAACTGAAAACATTGCGAAGCAACAGCCAAGCAAGTGTATGCAACGATTGTCAAGTACCATGCTATGAAACATCTGTGCCGCCGTTATCACAGTTCTTTTTTTAAATGTATTTCACTAAAAGTAAATGTAAAGAAAGTATAGTAAATATCTACAATTCTTCATCGGCGATATAATTCGAATTCACCCACATAACACAAACTTTGGCAAAAGCATTATTGAACCCGGTGAATTCATTGTGTGCCGATATGAACATAAGGGAAGTAAAACCGACAAAGCACCGGAACTTAGAGCAAAGGGGGATGGAGATTTAAGTCCGATCGTCTTGACTTGAGATGATGTTTACAAGTAAACTGAAGGTATCAAACAGACTTGTGCATAAGTGCATATTAATATGTAATATTCTCTGGCCTCTGGGTCACGGCTACACCACTCTTCTCATTCATCTTTGAAATAACTCATGCATCATGTGTATTTTATTGACTGAAATAATT